ATATTTACATATTATGTAAATAACCCACGTGTAATCCTCAGGCATACAGTGTTTTATTATAAACTACTTAGTCTTTATTACATTGTTTACAAGTTGGCTGGGGTTGTGGTTTCTACCGAGTCTGCAGTTGAGTCAGCTACATATGAGAGGGATTATGTAACTTAAGAGACGATAACACCACTAGATTGTAATTAGATTGTGAAAGATCCGGTTGATAGACGCACTTGTGGCGTTCAACCGCAGGGCTTCACGTTGTCGGTCCAATTACGCCACCTCGGATAAGGACTGATCGCACATAAAGTACATCTTTTGAACCCTGGGACGCATCAGTGTTTGACCAAGTGCGTGTCGCATTGGTGGCAGCGGTGGGATTCGTTGTTGTCAAGACGGAGTTCACGACTGGTGGAAAAGTGATCAGCGCATGATACCGGACGGGCAGTTGGCGTGCAATTGGAGACATCACAAGATTTATGCACGGCCGGAGGAGTTGCAGTGTTAATATGAGTGTCACCCATGAAGGCCCGCTGTTTATCGTTTGGAGTGCGATCCGTGAAGGATTCACACGATGGCATCAAGATGCCTACAACCCGACAGGCCCGGCAGTGCAGAGTGATGTGAGAACGAAGAGAAGTTCAGACGCTCATCAGGAACTAGGGAGAATTTCGGAGGAACTGCCGACCCGACGGATGGATGGCATACATTGTGAGGAACACTGGCAGTGTTCTCATAGAGGCATTGAGAGTGCCATTGAGTGACGTAATGACTGTCAGATGAAAACTACTAGTGATGCGGAATGCTGATGCACAACGTGATGTGAGTGAGATTCCAATAATGACACCCATAGCAACTGTTGCTAGGGGGCAACCAGAATGGAAATCGTCGCTGTAGGGGAACTGCAGTTTGGATACCTCTGCAAGATCTGTGGATAAACAAGACGTAGGTAACATTGGAGATGTGCAGCGGACTCGGAGGAAACTGTGTTGAGTACCGGATAGATTTTGGGGGATGTGTCCTGGAAATATTATAAGGCACATTTTGAATCGTATGCTGTCATCATCAAAGGATGGACTGAAGAGGAGAAAGCCGACATCGTGGCAGCTGAGCTGAAGGGACCGGCAAAAGAAATGCTTGGTGACGGATTGCCAAGTGGAAAACTGACGCACAATGAGCTAACAGGAAGACTAGATCGGCGACATGGACCTGGAGAACAAGCTAAGACGTTCTTTGCCCAGCTGAGGAGTAGGAGCAGAAACCGCTATACGTCGATTGACGGAGTTAGCACATCTGGAGCTGCATTTTTTGGATTCAATCTCGGATGCTGATATTTGGGTGGGCATATTCAGGGCCCATCCTAAAACCCTGGATGACGCGATTCAAGCACCTTTGGAAACTCAGTCGTTTCTGAAAGCGGAACAACACGGATGATTGCCCACGGTAACCGGCCTGATGGGGTCAATTGGGTTAGGACGTGTTGGGGGTAAAATGGTGAATTGAGCAGCTCCATTTCCACTGAAGTACTCCATTGTATAGCACGGCGTCTCAACATTAGCCTCTCCGAACCAAATCCCACTGGATTTGACAAAATGACAGAGTTTTGACAACCGTTTTGACAAAATGACAGAGGATGACAGCGTGTGCCTGGCGCTTTAACCAGGTGACTCCGGGTAGGTGGAGCTAGTTAGACTCGGTTGCCAGTCCACCTGGGAGAAGGACCACTCTGATTTTTAAACCCAGGTAGGTAGAGCCCCTTACCCTTGGTTGGGAGTCTATCTGCTCGTAACCTAACTCGGACAAGGGCGAATGAGGGGCCTTGCCCCCAACGGCCAGGGTAGGTCCGAGAGGAGTGGCGCCCCCAGGCCTTATTAGCCTTGAAAGGCAATCCAATGGCGAATCTTGTAACTACAAATCCTATACTGCCAGTCCCGGGAGTGGACAGGAGCTGTGCTGCGGATAGTGGTGTTGGCCAGTGTTCTACTCGGCAGTATGACAGTGCCCCCCCAACACCTGACGACAGCATCAAGCCCAAAGCGATTCTGCGATGCAAGAGGCCGTTCATTGTGGCCACTTTCAACGCAAACACTGTGAGGGAGGAGGGGAGGCTTAGAGAGATGGACCATTGTGCAGTGAAGTGTGGAGTGGAGATTTTGGGTGTGCACGAACACGGGAGAGTCCACTCAGACACAATTGTGTTTGAGCGAGAAGAGGGTAGCTATTTTATTACATCATCGGCATGGAGGAATGCGGCCCAGGCAGCTAACGGAGGGGTGGGGCTGCTTCTCAGTCCTCGAGCTAGAAGGTCTCTTCGAAGTGTTCGCTCTCATTCTGAGCGGATACTGGTTGCCGAGTTCGATAGCAACCCAGTTACAACTGTCCTCGTTGCCTACTCTCCAACTAACCTATCCCAAGTAAAGGACGTAGAGCTGATTTATGAGCAGCTCACAGCAGCTGTTAGGAGTATGCCTGCTCTTAACGTCGTTGCCATACTGGTTGACTTTAATTCGAGACTTGGATCCGACAATGTACCGTACACATGTCATTATACTACACGCAGAAATGGTACGCTTATGTATGGGTTTATGACTGAGCATCAGCTACTCGCAGCCGACACCGAATTCCAGAGAAAGTATGGGAATAGGTTGATCTTCCGAGATAATGGCACTGGAATTATAAGGCAATTTGACTACATTCTAGTACGGAGGAAGTGGCGGAACAGCATCTTAAACGCTGAACCCTTCAGTTCGTTTGCTTCAGTGGGATCTGATCACAGAGTCGTCTCTATGAAAGTGAGTCTGAGTCTGAGAGTAAAATGAAATATGGAAGGTCATAAATAAGGTAACAGGGCGTAGGAGGGCAAAGGAAGGTCAGGTGACAGGAGCCACTGCAGAGGAAAGAGTGAACACGTGGTTCACCCACTTCAGTAAACTCCTAGGTAGTGTCCCGGAAATTGTGGACGTGGATGAAGAAATACCTGACATCCTCACTAACCTCGAGATCAACGATGGTCCATTCACCGCCCTGGAACTCATCAAGGTCAAGTTGACATTGCAACAAGGTAAGAGCGCCGGCCCAGATGGCATCCCCCCAGAAGTCTACAAAAGCTGTGAGATTGATGATATCATTATGGAAATCTTTAACTGTGCCCTGATTAATCACGAAACTCCCTGGCAATAGTCGCTGTCAAACATCATTCCCGTGCCTAAATCTGCTGATCTTAGTAAAACTGACAACTACCGTGGCATTAGCCTCAAATGTATTATTGCAAAGATTTCAACCGTATGATATTAAACCGGTTACGCAGCGATATTGATCCTTACCTCTGACATAACGAAAATGGGTTTAGAGAGAAGAGATCAACAGTGGCACAGATTCTGACACTGAGACGAATAATTAAGGAAGTGAAGAGTAATAACCTCACAGCTGGCCTGACCTTCATCGACTTTAGAAGAGCATTTGATTCCATCCACAGAGGGAACATGTTGAGGATTCTTAAGCCTTACGGAGTCCCACCGAACCTGCTTGAAGATATTCGGTCGATGTACTAAGGAACGCAGTCTAAAGTGGTTACTCCCGACGGTACCACGGATGAATTCAATATTTTGGCAGGCGTCATGTAGGGGTACGACCTCGCCCCATTCATATTTATTGTTGTACTTGACTTTGCCCTCCGACGAGCTATCAGTGGATACTAGGCGGATCTTGGTCTCACAATGACACCAAGGAGATCAAGTTGCTACCCCGCAGTAGCCCTGGCCGACCTTGAGTATGCTGATGACACCAGTCTCCTCTCCAACACCACTTCCCACGCACAAGAGTTTCTGACGCGTGTTGAGATTGAATGTAGCTGAGTGGGTCTCTCACTCAACGCAAGAAAGACGGAGTTGATCACATAAAACATCCCCGACCATGCTCCCCTGATTACCACAGAAGGCAGCCCTCTAATAGTGGTCAAGGACTTTAAGTATCTGGGGTCATGGGTTGACTCATCTGCAGAGGACATTCGCATTCGCAAAGCCCTTGCCTGGAAGGCTCTTAGTGAAATGAAATCTGTGTGGAACTCAAGCATGTCAAGGGACGTTAAACCAAGTTTCTTCCAGGCCACAGTGGAGTCTTGCAGTATGGGTGTGAGTGCTGGACCTTAAACCCGGCCCATCGGAAGTCTATTGGTGGATGCTGCACCAGAATGCTGAGGGTTGTGCTCAACCTCGATTGGAGAGACCATGTGCCCAATAATATCCTTTATGGGGCACTATCACGGATCTCACAAAAGATCGCTTTCAGATGGATAGGCCTTGCAGGGCACTGTTACAGACACCCTGAGCTGCCGGTATTGTGGGAAGCAACACATGGAATAAAGTAAGGGGTACGTGGACAGAGGATGAGCTATGTTAGCGTCCTGAGGAGAGATATGGGCGTGGAGACCGCGACAGAGCTGGCTGATTGCATCAAGGATAAGGAAGGTTGTAATCGCCGTAGGAGGTCCCGCCTGCGGGCGACATAGAGAGAGGAAATTGATACCTCCGTCAAATTCAGACTATTACCCGAGAGAAATTCAACCGAGAGAAATTTATAGGACCAAGCAGTTAAATGTACTGCACAAACCTAACCAAAGCCATGGGGAGTGACGTAATGAACAACGGACAGAGCCAACCGACCTCGGGGAAGACGGCAGGAGCAACTAAGAAATTAAGATATTATGGCTGCCGAGAGGACGGGCTCTAAAAGCGAAACTATCCGAAGATGGAAAAACCGCGTGACACCGGCACTGCTGAGTGGATTTTACGTGCAAGGAGGAATAGATGATCACACCCTGATGTTTTGATCGACACTGGATAATCGGAAACAGTGATATTTATCTGCAGAATTACATGAGGATGTGTGACCAAATTTGCGACCAGTGCTGGATTATATTAATTAAGTTAGCTGATGGAAAATCGCTGACAGCACAAGGAATTGCGAGGATGACCGTAACCGTTAGAGGATTTAGCACCTCTTTCAAAATCCTCGTTGCTGGAATCAGAAATGAAGGTATCCTCGGCATGACTGTTCTTCTGGCATCTTGGAACAGCATTGATTTGGACATAGATAATACTTCCACATCGACGGGCAGTCGTGTGACCGTAAATCGCGGAAGTACCGCCTGGATGTGAAACTGTGATACCCGGCATTGTGCAGCAGAATGTGGGTCTACGTAGATGGGGATTTATTGAAACAAGTTACTGGGAATCGCTCATCGGAAAAAGGGTCATACAGTGGGACGTAGCTCTTTAGATGCTACGTCAGTACCGTGCCCTATTGGAGTGTTTAATCCAGGGATTGAGACAGTGATTACTATTTAAAGAGGGAGCGCGATGGATTGTGACGTCAGCGGACGATTCGGATATTGTACTGAAGCATGACGAACGTACTGTTTCGACACTGCAGAGATCAACGAAGAAGAGAACGCTGTGCCAGTGATAGCAGCGTGTTGAAACCTTCTCAGGTAATAACTTTGTCATCTTGTACTTCGATTAAAAGAATGTTTGGTTATTATTCTGGAATTTTGGATCGCACTTCTCTTCATTCGGTAACTTGTTTCACTTTTCCTTGTTAGCCTAAAAAAAAAATCAATTTTTAAATAAATTGCAACACGGATCACTTATTTGGGGGCTTATAATTATTCCCAAGGGAGGGTAGAATAATGTTTATCAACCTCACCCAGACAAGGATTATATTTACGTATTCTTTTCAACCTTACGGTGAGAAACCCGTGCCAAACCAGGCTGACAACGCTGACTAACAGATGTGAGCTGATTAGATTTTACAGACATAAAGAGCGCCAACGAGTGGTGAGAGAAGTTTCAGGAACAACACCATGAAGGTGGAGGCCAGTGCTTGCACCGGCCAAATCACAATGTGTATGCACTCAGATTCTTTACTGAAAAAAAGCATTTTGTGTTCCACGAGTTCGCAGATTTGCAAAAAGGCCGGTTTAGGCGACCAAAACGAATGCAAGCTTGTGTCTGAGTGGGATTCGGAAGAAATTGGTGCCTGAAAATGTTCTATTTTTCGAGAAGTGTAAGCATCGATTGTTCAAAATAGCGAGGGGCTTCACAACTTTTTGAAGGGGTAACCTTCTGTTGAACAAAGTATCTTCAAAAGTCATCGGTTAATTAATGAATGGAAATTCCAAATTTTTTTTTAAAACCCTCATAAAATGAGATTTTATTTGATGTGCGCCTCGAACGCCTGAGAAACTAGTGATTATTTGTCCTGATTTTTTGAAGTTCAGGTGGGCCCTATTTATCACTGTTGGCTGTGGCAGTTTACTTACTGGTCTGCGCGCCTCAGGTATAATAAACGTGCGTTTATATGTCTATGATCTGCGCCCATAAGTTGAAGATGCTCTCTCTATTCCGCTCCAGTGGCCACTTTTTAAACTAAAATTGGAGGTAAAAAAGGGCACCTGTTATAAAATATTGGGGGGTACTCTTCTCTTTTTATCTCCTCAGGTGCTGTGCCATCAATAAAACCACGTAGTTTATTAATGAGATTTATTTAATTATTTTTTAATTAATTGCGTCGCGTGTCCTGTATCATTCATCAATTTTCAACGCCTAGGGATCTGCAATATATGCCGTTTTCCAATACTCGATTCAGCTCCGTATAGGCTGCAACCGTTTTTCTACTACCTAACTTCGAAATTGTAAGCGCAACAGCGAGTTTAATAGTGGCACAAAACATCAAGTAAGATGCAAAAGAGCCAAACATCGCAGTTTTTTAGTTTAATTGAAACGTTTCAGGCCCACATTCGGTTACTGGTTTCGGAGACGAAGCCTGTGAACGGGGACGAATTGAGTATTGGAAAACGGCCAAATCGGAATAGCATTGATGGAATCTGCTGTCAGTCTGGTTCTTAGCAGTGACTAGTGCTGTGCAAAATATGTACAGTACCTAGACTTCCTAATGCTATGAGGCGATGAATAGTGCGCCAGTACAGTAGTGTTCACTTCCGTCTGTCCGTGTGATGCTAACTTCTGTCGTTGCGAGTCAGTTACACATGTATGTAATTGCAATAAGCCGATCTATGCTCTTCGTATTTGCACAGGGTCTTGTTCTGTTTTCCCGCTTATTGTAGGAATGTCACCTCAACTGTCGGTCTAACTTTCAAGTTCGTCGTAACGTTAGAGTAGACTCGTAGTCTTACGGTGTGCACACACAGGTAGGGACTGTGTACATGTACGTCATGTACTGTACATCACCACATCATACATGTAGGAGCCTACATGTAGGCCTACATTTTGGTCCTAAGCTTGGAATTATTGCAGAATACCCTGCCACTCTAAAAAACGACCCCTGGAATGACTGGTTACGTGGATACAGGTGAAAATCCCTTGAGAAGAGTGTGACACTTTGACCTGTACCTGGCTCTGACTATGAGGTTGATCATGCGGGGTGGCCGCAGGTTATTCTACAATTGAGCTCTAGGGCTAATTGGCATAGGCCTACATCATTTAAATGAGTAGTACAGTGGTAGACGGCAATGGTATTTTTTGCCATTAATCAGACTGTATAAGGATTGTATATTAGAGGACCCCCCGGCAATCGTACAGGTATCCCAATGCATCTTTCAAGCTCACTCCATGATGACTTTTTCATGGCTTATTTAAGCACTCAATTTCGTGTCTGTGTCGCAAATATGAAAGTGCGATGTCGATGGAGTGTTCAAAACAAATCGTGAAACTGTAGTGGTACCTCAGTGAGCTTGAAAGGTGCATCAGGTTGGAATCCATAAATCTGATAGTTGTGCATACTGTAGTTGCCCAGAAAGTGCCTCTATTTTCTGGTTCATCTGAATTCTATTTAAACCTTAAGTGGATCATTTCCTTCACGAAAGTTTGCCCCATTGACGTGGTGAGTGATAACTTGATACATGTATATATACCTTGACAAGAAGGGAACATATTCAATGATATTAGCCTGACAAACTGCCTGAAGAGAGCAAACTGAGAACAAACAATAACCAAATTAGTGTTATGTTTTTGGAGACAAGGAAAAAATTCCTAAAAAAGTAACCCCCATAACCAGCTTGAAGGTAGGAATTAACTGTTTCATTCCATTATGTTACTCATCATCAAATTGTGATAGGTGATGCGCCAGCGATGATCACCCTGTCTAAGAAACGGAAGGAGGATGCAGCGCGCCGGGCCAGTACTGGTAGCATGCCAACACCTCCCTTTGCGTTGGACAACATCAAACGAGTGTCCATCCGTGACAAGTTGCTGGTCAAAGAAGTGCCCGAGATGAATGTGAACATGCCCTGTGAGGAACTCAGGATTATATTGTGGCGCTGTCAATTAAGATGCAGGCAAATGTGCTAAGTTGCAAGCAAATTATGCTAAGCAGGAAAGGGAAAATCGCACACAGAGTTCTGCCTGCAAACAGCTGTCACATGAAATGTGCTTCCTGTAGCACTTTGCTTAGCAGTGATTTCTAATAAGAAGCTCCATAGCATTGTTGTCCCTCAGTCTTAATTTGCATCAGTCATTTTACTTGCACATTCTTGGCCAAGTAACCATGTTTGTACGATTATCTTTGACTTCCCTTAAATACATGTAGGCCTATATGCAAGGAGTTCTCCACATCACATTTGAATTAAAAAAAAAGCGTTCCCAGTGTTTTGTGTAGGTTCGTGTGATATGCATTATTTACATTGTCAAACTTGTTGCTTGTCATGTTTTCCACTGCATAAAAAAGGCACTGATTAAGACAATTATAGGCCTACCTTTTTTCTTTTCAAAGTATAATAATCAGGCTAGCAAGTTTTCCTCAGATCAGCTTATTTCCTCGTTTTTCACTTCACACTTATGCCACTGAAAATTGAAAAACACTGTACATGTACAAAGTCTTTTGGAATTTCCTTGTTTTTGCCAACTTTAATCCAAGTTGCATCCTGATAACTTGTTCCTCCTTTTTATTTACTTTTTATTTGGTTAATTTTCTGGAAATATACATGTATCTCCAGCTTCCTGCTCAGTTCAGTATGAGGATGTCAACAAACTCCATTCATTTCAACTCATCATTACTCCGGAGGAGGGTTATTGGCGAGGTGGACGGTTCATCTTCAGTATCTACGTCCCAGAAGAGTACAATATAGTGGTGAGTCTTAGCAAGCCTAGGTGAACAAGTAGGTTTTGGAACACTTTTTTGTGCAGTCCGAAAACTGTACAAGCTGAGGCCTTGAGATGAAGACCAGTTTGGATAATGCATGGTTGGGTCGGCACGGGAATCTGTGTTTAGGAAGGAACACCCCTTGACCAAATAATGTTTTTCAAATATGGGGGGGGAAGCAATATTCACCATTTCAGAAAGGCATCAGTGCCCTTCTTCAGAGACTTAATCCTAAGAGAGCGGGGTGCCTCCCCCCTCAACATTTGTTACAATATCACTGCAGTACCTTTTTTTCCCAGAAGTTGAACCTGTAGCATTTCTTTTTTGGTAACTCTCTGTGGTCATTTTGTCTCCAATTTTGTGCATGTACCATTCTCGCTTAGTACCCAGTTTTCTGAGACAGGTCAGCCAAAAATGTATACTTTTCCACCGCATTGCTCAATGAATTTGGGCTGGCACAAGTGTGGCCTGTAACTTAAATGACAATAACAAAACCATACATCAATTGTACTGATAAGGAGTTTTACATGCATGCTATTTTTTTTTTTGAAAAATCTGTCGTGGAACGACCAAGTTTTTTTTTGGGGGGGGGGGAATTCTCCCAATTCGAGATGATCCAAAATAATTATATTGGACCTCGTGTAATTATTTTGTCATTTACTTCTCTACATCACACACACGGGGAGCCCCTTCATGCCCTTAATTTAACCTGTTGTGATTTAGATGCCATTGTCATTTGCTATTGTCAGTCCACCCTGAGCAGAAGCACCCCCTCATTGGTTGAAAAGAGCTGTATTGGTCGGGACTGTTCCTTTGTTGCTAGCTTTCATAGTCATATTTCATAGTTGTTAGACTGCCATGCAACTACCAAAGGAGCTTCCATTACTAGGAAAATGTTGCCCTCTCTTAGCCCAGCTCGTGGCCCATAATGTGACACTATTTACTTTCGACAGTAGTTCCTGTCCTCAATGAAAACAGCAGATAAAACACACCAAAGATTAGTTTTGAAGATTTACACTCAATTAATATACTGTATGACAAAATTAGGATATTGTGTGATAAGATAGTGGCTGACTGTATAGTTGTGAATTCATCAGGACACTGTAAACTAGGTGTTGGGATTTGCTTGGATAAAGCCACCCAAAACAAGTCCTGTAGTATTTATCTCTTTCTCTCATTGCCCGCTTAGCCATTTTTTGTTTTAAAAACACTGTGCCATGTTCTGATTTTCTTTGATTCACCAGCCTCCAACTGTGAACTGTCACACAAGAATATGGCACCCCAACATATCAGAAGATGGGAAGATTTGCCTTAGGTAAGATGGATTGGTTTTTACCACCCCATGCAAAGTTGCCTGCTGTGTTGCGTATTTAAAACATTTATTTTAAACACTCAAATATGAAATTATGTACAGAGAAAATGCATTCATGTTAATGACACTATGAAATTTAGATTGGTTTAAATAGGGTTAACTGTCGTTTCTTGGTTAAACAGTATTCCACCGTATTTTAACCCCATTTTAACTGCATAGATCAAGCCAAGAGTTTCACCCGGTTTTAACCGTGTTTCAACCGAACCCACCACTTTTTGTTATTCAAGCCTTAATCCTCTCCTGGTCAGTCATCAGTCCAAACGGACAGTCATCCATTTTAACCGTGTTTTAATGGTGCAGAGATGGTGTGCTACAAACAGCAGTGTCCCGTTGGGGAAATCTACTTTTTACCTAATTAAAGAGCGGATCAGGGGAAATGTCGATCATCTTCCTTATACGTTCCACAAGTTGGAAATTGGCTTCAATGCACATGTATGTTGGCTTATTTCTGCACCCGTTTACATGATAAATTCTCTGTTTTTTGTCATATAAAGCAATGAATTAATTTAATAAGAATGATACATGTGTCTGGAGTAGTTTATTGAAAATAAACAACTGAAGTTTTATTGGTATAGTTACCGTTCATTGGTCCTTAATGACAATAATTAGAAGTGACTGTTTTCTGTGAGCACAAAATCAATTGCGCTAGTGCTAAAATCCTAGATGGCGGCACCCATAGTCCAGTGTTAACCATGTGTCAAGAGGAAGCAGAAGCTTTTACCGATTAAAACTTCACCGCTGCCGACCCATAAACCCCAACAAATTTGCAAGAACCTGGCAATCCAAATCATATGAAATCTGCTGGAGAATCTGGAATAATTCATCCCTGTTTTGAGGACAAACTTCCTCGTTTTACAAATTCTCCAGTGGACAGCCTCAAGGCTAACAGGCCGCCCGCGGATTGCTGGGACGGTCACGTCATGCGTGCTAGCTACACGCTTGACTGCATGACACGTATATCGAAGGCAAGCTCTTCTGCACATGCCCAGGCCAGGGTGGACAAAGAGGTCCACAGGGGCAGACGCGGACATAAACTGATAATGCGGCGAGTGGCGATCACCTCGACTGGCTTGTGTTGGCCAGTTATCAGTATACTATTATTTGAGGAATTACCCACTCTCACCTTCTTCAAATTAAACCTCACATTGCACTTTTTGATTTACAGCTAGTCTACGGCAAATTCCTGGTTAGAAATCTCAATCCCCCGTCCCCAGCCTCAATCTTAGAACATCCTTTTCATTACAGTCTCAGCCAATAGCAAGAATGAAAAAAACTTCACATCCAAATTAGACCATACCTTGTACACGAATGGGGCCTCTAAGGATCCTAAAATAATATCTTCCCCTGGAGTTGCCGTCAATCGTGCAATCAGCATCCAATCAAAGTTCATTTTGAACGTCCATTTCTGATTTCATTGGCCAAGTATGGAACAAAAGGGCATCCATGTTGGAGATTTGCATGCATAATGTGTTCTGAATGTACATAAGTACAAATTTATCGAGAATTTAATATTGTTATGTGGCTGAAATGCCATCCCTAGCAAGTTGTTGATTTGAATTCTCACCATCATGTGATGTGGGGCCATCTTAAGTTTACTGTACAAGACTGCACATTTACATGTACAAGTACATATACAAGTACATGTATGTGCCATGTGTGCATTGTACAAGTACCGAACTAGCTAGTGTGAGTATAACTCGTTATCCAGTTTCCGTTGTCTTTTTTGTCTCAACTGTTCTTGCAATTCCATGCAATTCGTTTGCTATCAATGCCATGCCATATCAAAGTCGAACATCCGAACCTAACTGCCGGTTGGTCCGGTTCGAAAGTGCCATGTGCGACGATTTTTGGTTCGGTTCGGTGGTTTGGCTGAAGCATGAGCTTGTAGCAAAAATATTTATGACACATGGAAGATTGGGCATTCATGGGGTTGCTCATTTACATAAGCTTGCGTGTTGCATTCTATCCATGTATCCGCCGGTTTGTAAAGGGCTAGATTGTTTGGCAGAGATTTGCATACTCTCCGTGATTCCATGAAATGTCTGCATCCTGAAACACATGGGATGACGCCTGAAGACTAATACGTTCAGGTGCCTACGAAGTGCTGAGTACCAGTGCAAAGAACTCGTTTGTATCAATCAGTGGTGATTAAAAGTTATAGTACAGTGTTATACCGTTAGGGATCAGGGCGGGACAGCCTAATAATGCAGTATGATTGCTATGCACAAAGGAACTCATCTGGCCTTGGGAATTATACTCCACAAAACTGACCGCAGAGCTTGATTCCCCAAAAGACCCCTGTTTTAACCGAACAGCTGGCCTTTGCCATCCAAGCTAAAAACCATAAAACTGACCGCAGAGTTAATGAGTAGAGCTCCTAACCAGTTTCCAAAAACAACTCCCTTTTAACCCTGTGTTTTTGGTACTGGTACCCCTAGTTAAACCGAAAATGAACACGGTTAAATTGAGTGATCAGACGGCATACACAAGTTTTAACCGAGAAACTGCATTTTAACCGAGCAGAGATTCATAGTGTGAATCCTTTCAAACTATCTGTTCATCCCAAGGCTCGTTTTTTTTTAATTAATGCAACTTAACAGAGTCAGTGACCTAGTACAAAGATACTTTGGTTTGAGTTTCAAACATACATGTAAATAGAAAAATGTAAATTTTACATGTATGTAAATGGAACTAGAGTAAAAGCGTCCGTTAATCAGTGATTTCACTCGGATTTAATTTAAGTGATCTCTCGTAACTACAGCAATAACTCCACGACACAGCTCCATGCGGGGCAGTGTACACAGGTGATTCCTTTGACAAGATGTCTGGTGATCACGCTTTACTAACTGTGCATGTCTATGTGTCCATGTAGTTTACTCAGAGAGCATTCTGTGGATGGCACGGGCTGGGCACCGACAAGGCGCATGAAGGATGTCATCTGGGGTCTAAGTTTTCTTTTCACGGTAAGTAATTACACCAACCACTAAGCTAGCACGGTTGAGAATGATTGGCCTCGGGATGGCCTTGAAGTTAGCCAGGCTGATGATATACAAAGCAGGTTTTAGCGTCGATATTGCAAAAAATAACAGATAGACATAACTTGGAATATTATGTCTCATCCTTCACGGACAAAGTTTATGGACACTTTGCTCCTCAGTGCTTGATAAGGGCATTAGAGAAAATCTTGATAAGTTTGCTTGGATGGGACTTCAACCCACAGATTGCTGCTCATGTTGTGCAAATGTTGTAAGCTCAACTGGCAAATTCACCGCCAATATGGTTTTTAATTGTTTCTCATGGCATTTTGTCACATCTGTCATTTTCACCATAGGACTTGCTGAACTTTGATGACCCACTGAACATTGAGGCGGCTGAACACTACCAACGCAATAGGAGTGACTTTGAGGCCAAAGTACGACATTACGTAGAGCGGTATGCCAAGAGATGATACACCCATCTGGAGAAGAGAATTTCTGGTGTCAGAAGTGGGACAAGACAGTGACTGGCACATTTCAGTTTAAGAAATGCTCTGACCCAAACAGGAGTGGCAAGTTCAAGAGATGGAGGATTTTTTGTCAGGCATCCCTCTCCTGTGCCCATTTACAAATATTCAAGACTATCACTACATTTTGTTCCATGCTAGGATGTAGCAACTCTCCTCTGTATTGAATGTGCCTCCTCTTCAGTAATCAACCCATTTCTGGTGGTGCAGAACTGACCATGAGAACTTGGTGAGGCCGTAGAAAATGCAGTATGGTTCGTTGGGTTGTATCACAAGCAGCTTGCTTCAGAGAGAAAAAGAATGGAAACTAAAAGAAGACATACTTTTGTGGGGATAACAGATGAGGTTGAAAGAACTAGACAAGGTACTGGGGCATACAGTACATGTACATGTGTATTGTTTGCCACATAAAATGTGTACCAGCAAGAGACAAGAAATGATTTGAACAAGATTATTTCAGTAGGACAGATGAAGGTTTTTTGTAAAACTGAGCACGACAAAATGCCCAGTTACTGTCTGCCGGGCTGTTCCATGAATCCAACTAGCAGCTCAATGACACTGATACAAGTGCAACTCCCCAACGAAGAACCAGTAGAAAATCAGTGGACAGACACCTGCAAGCTCTTGTTTCCCTCATTCAAACCTGTACTCCGAAGCACTACTCCATGAATCTTGTTCAACCGTCAAAGCATAAATCTACCAAATCAGTGAACAGTTGGTCAGACACTGTTATAAAATAAGTAGCCAACCTGTGTACTTTGTAGTTTGTGTAAGGCATCAGACTTGAGCAGATCCAAATGAAGGTCCACCGTGATATTTAAATGCTGCTATAATTTGACTTGCTATGAAATGACCTGAAAATGATAACATAGCACTATTTCTCTATCGTTTTAAGGGTTTTTTTGGTGGTGTCATTTTCTTTACTAAACCCTTTTTTTCTTCTCTTTCAAGAGTAGCTAGCTTCTCTCATGTACATGTATGTAAATGTCATATTGCAACAGCCACTAATTTCTACGTGATTTCTGAAAACTACTTTCACATGAGCACTGATAAATGGTGGCACCAGCAGTTGGAAATCAGGTTTTAGAAGTACGCACCTTGTAAAAGTTGCCTAGTGAACATGCCGTAGGCATTTTGAATTTTTTTGCCCTGCCCAACGTGTATTTTAAAATCCATCTTTGAAACATGCCCTAGGCATGTTACAGCAATCACAGTGTTACAGGTCACAGACTAAACACTTGTAGTCAGTGACTTTGGCCCTTAGAATGGACTTTGAGAAGATCTCACAAAGTCTTGTTTCTTTAGGTGTACATTGTACACATGTATTTACCCGTGTAGACCATGGATACTGGCCAGCAGATGTTGACCATTCAAGAAAATCTATGTGAGAAAATCCAATTAATATCTAGTTTCCTTCTTGAAAAACAAGCCAAGAAATTGAGGAGTTGTATTGCACCTTCTCCATAGTCAGTGTCGATCAGTTGTGAGAATAACCTACTTACTGAATAGGTTGCATATACTTGTGAGATGCATTTTTGTGAAATGTATTTAATGTGGGTTTTTACCTACAAAACACTGTATTGAAGAAACATTGATTGAAATTCAAAGTACGTGTACACTTCAAGAATTAAAAAATGGGAGTGCAAGGTTTGAACTTCCATTGCTTGAAAGTTAGGTTGGTATGGGCAAATTTCATTGGGTTTGTTACAGATTTTGACCTTAGATTGTCAAGCTTTTTTTGGAAACCAAAATTGGACTGGAAAGTTTTGGTTTAAAGTAATGCCCATCTGCTGCACAATGTCATTCATAAGATTCTTCACCCCTGGGTTATGAAATAGTCTGATGCAAATTTGACCAAAGATCGTCAAAAAGTAAACCAGAGAGAGGAGCTGTGATTTTCTTGTACATAGTGTTTTATACATGTACCTTTTTTTTCTGTGGACAGTTGATTTGTGTATTTCCTTATTTAACATCATGGACTAATTGAAATGGATTTCTATTTATAAACATAAAATGAGCATAATGTGAGAGTTGCCATAGTTACTGCATTGAAAAAAATAAAGGCACGGTGATGCTAGCTGCAGTTTTCATCTGTCATGTTCTTTGCTTTTTGTCTTAAAATTTGTGAGTGTGTTGCGTCTGCTAAAATCACATTATGAGGTACGAGTGTTGTACATGTCGCGCCTGATGGCTGTACAGCAGTGTATAAAATGGACAATAAAGAACAGAGTCTGCAAAAAAGGTCCTTTTTTGTGCGATAAGTGACGCAATATATTCTTTGATTACACAATCATCATAGAGACTAGTAATGTAAGAATTTTTGTTTATATTCTGTCCAGATGCTCAATATTTGAAGGAAAAACACTGAAATCCACAAATGTCTTTGACAGTGAACTTCATTATGTGTGGGACATACATGTAGCAATGAAATAGTGGACTTGCCCAACAAATAGACAAACATGTCAGAGGACATTGCATTTCTTGGAATACTGAGATGTCGCATAATTGTTACTTTTCTTATCCGGAAAGGATTTTTTGGAGAAGAAAGACAGGTTTAAGGGGATCAAGAGAGGACGCAATTTCCCTAGCAACAGAGGCTCCCTTGGTAGGAACTGTATACCAGGCACAAAATGCATGGCCGCCGGAACCGGAGGGCTGGGGGTCATGGGCCCCCCTTTTTTTGAGACATGACAAAAATAAAAGCACGATATTTGCACTGCATCTGCAAGTTTGTTCAGAAAAGGCTCGTTTTCAAAACGTTTGGAAAGAAGCACTTTACACCAACTTTGTCTGTTTTTTCTTGATCATCTGCCATCTTTTCTTGTCTTGGACGTCGCATCAAATTCCATGTACGTCCTGTTCTTGTAATGTTGTACGACTTGGCCCCACACATACATGTAGGGCCATACATCATGGCTCTCTTTTGATATCTGTCTTTTAACTGTCACCAGTACTGCGTTAACGAGTTTTATGATATAGTATGTACGCGTATATTGGCTCTACGGTTTTACTGAAAATTCTTGTCATCATTTCACTTTGTAATGCAAGCAGATTTGGGGCCAAATTACAGAAGCAAGTGGCCTGGAAAGTCCCCAAAGATTGCACCAGAGAGCATCGATCTACAATCCAAAATTTTCCGGGCCCCAAACCCCACGCTGTGGCTTCGCAAGAATTGATCACCCAAGGATGAAAAACACTGTCAGATACCTTCTGACAGGCCTGACAATGTGGAACACAGGGGTACCCCACAAAACAAGTCCAATCCCTACACACACTCTAGCCTATTATTACTTAACACGTCCCCTTCGATGTCTGAAAAGAATTCCCCCATGAGATACCAGTATAACAATGACCAACTTTGAACACCGTGCAAAAAGGGCGGTGGGGGTGCTCTCTGTTCCATAGTCTGCTTCATATGGGGAACTGCACTTTGCTGGTTTATGAACAACTATGAATTGCATGCATTCAGATTGAATTGCCACCAACAAAATAAACACTGCCTAACAACATGGCTCTTCTCAACTGATGAGGGGTGCTTCTGCTCAAGGCCATTCCTCTGCAAATGGCAATCGTAGGCCTAATTTATCACACTAAGAGAGGCACATCCCTCTTGATTTTCGTTCTGATATCAATTCAATTGCTACATCTGCCAGGGAGTTGGGAAGGGGTGGACATGAAGGGGTATTACTCATTTCAGTAATGAACATAAACTGTACATGTGCCCAAGCATTATATCTCTTCCTTGACAATAATGGTGCATGTACTTACATTTCCTTTCCTTGCACTTCCTTGTGCTGGGTCTAAATCCAGATGGCCAAGCAGACTGCAAGCTACAGGTTGTGGGCTCTTTGCTACATTCTGCTTATTCCCCATACAACACTGGCCACATTTTTCACCCAGTCAGGGTCTTGCATGCTTGGTTTGTCTTCAGTGAGTCTACCTGCTCCACTGCCTGCTCCAAACTTAATATGCTGGCATCCAAAGAATTTGGTTCACTGAAAAGCCAGTGTGCAACCCTGGATCTTCACATAACCCAGTGAATCATCCATTGTTTCAAAACAATATTCAGCCCATCAAGTGGAATCTGCAGGCCTTCACTTTCTCTGCAAAGTTACTGAATTTGCCATCTCGCATTCCTCAAGTTATAATGGCCATTTCCTATTGACTATAATAAAAATAAGCTCTGTCAACCTTTTGCATTTATATCCGTGCTTTTTCCACCAAATTGGGTTTCTTATTTGAACTCAATAATTCAGTCTAGATATTTGTCTTGGCTTTATCTGTATCAAAATCTAACATTGTGGAAAGGTGAACAAATTAAATCAAATACCCAATTTACTTATTATTTTGCATGATGTGACCAGAGACACTAATAAATAGCGCCCTCAATTGTATATGCATTACCCTGATACAGACTACTACTACAAAAGAAGTTTATACTAGGAGTCAGAGATGAACAAAAGGGGATGCAGTGACACTGGAGTAGCTGATAGAAGCAATTAAAAATTTATTTACATATGGCTGAACCACATACCGCCTGAACTGACGTAACAATTGTACTGCTTTTTTATAACGACAGTCTGACATTAGCACTAAGCACTGTGCCAACACACCAACCCCTCACACAAGCTCACCACTACTATTAGATACACTCATTAAATTGATCTTGTTTATGATTACATTTTATACTATTTTTTATGGTAAGTTAAATTTCCCATTGCCATACACGCAACTTGAATGCCGAACATGATACCTGCATGGTTTTTAATCGATTACACTGTCCCCAATACATGAAGTACATTTCTGAATTGCAGAAATTGCCTTTAAAACAATGTATAACAGAAAACGCTCCAGCGAGGACTCACACGAACGTGATATAACAGTTTGTATTGCAAGACACTGTGGAAGTTCCATACACGATAAAATTCTGAAGAGAAAGATAAGGACAATATCTAAAATTTCAACCTACAACATGTTCCTAATAATGTTTTCTTTTTAAAACTATTTTGTTTATACATGTTGCAAAGCTACCATATCAAGCACTGGATGAGAACTGGCCCATCTATGTGAAATACAACACTAATTATGATAATGGAAATATGCCCTTTTGTCAGCCTACCATCATTTCATATGCACTTGCACACTTGTTTTCTTTATTTTGTCATCTACCTGCGGGCAATGTACTCGCAAGCTACATCGTTGTGTTAACATTTACAAGATTTTTTCAACCACTTTTGGACCATTTTGCATATACAGATTTTTTTCAACATCATACCAAGCGTTTGGAAACATTCTTGGTTTGAGCACAGTTAATCTAGCTGGTAGAAATGCAACTGACAGTTTTGTTTGGTCAAAACTTTGAGTCTGGCCAGACTGACTTCATGTTTAAGGTACCATTTTTAAGCTATATCAACCTTTCTTTTAAAGCCCCCACTAGAAAATTGTATTGACCCATCGTATACCTTGTTTCTATACTGGACTGACTTATTTCTTTATTTGTTTGACTTGTTTTTTTTCTTCTAACATGCCAGCCACAGAAAAGACTGGCTACACTACTAGTCCTGTGCCAAAAAAAATGGTCTCAAGAAGTTGCATTCTAATCTACACCAAATGCAGTTACAAATTCTGCTGGAAAAATAAGGAAACCACCACAAATAGGCAGAGAGATACTTGATAGGATGAATACATGATTACCATAAACAGCATATATATCAGCCACTCAAATACAAGAGGCTTGTACATTACACAGTCAAGTTTGGAAGATCTTCAAAATTGTACGATACATATTCTTTGAAGGCTATTGATTACAACAGTAATTTGGAAATTAAAAAACCTGAAAAATAATAAGTGTCCAAGATGTACTGACTGTTTTTTAATCTTAGGCTATATGCTCTAAACCTTATTGATTGAAATTTTGTGAACATTTCAAAGATGATTTTTACTCCTAGCTAGCAATGTGTTACATTTACACCAATAATAATTTTTAAATGGATTATTAAAGCCTTCAGAGAAGTATACCCATACGAACAACATATGTTGATAACCCAGGTTAGGAGCTTTATTTATATCTCAAAAACACCCCAATGGTACCTCTTTCTCTCACAATATAAGGAAAAATTGCCGTAACAGACCACTGTAGTATTATTTATAAGAGTAGTTCCCTTACAATTCAATAAAAGCTGATTATGAACAGGTAAATTTTTGATACACTTTGAAAAAAAAAACTTGCCACAAAAAGTCCTGCTTGAATGACTGGAGAAAAACAAACAGAAGGGCAGTACAAGCCCAGGTGCATCTTTCAACCTTTCACTTTGCTCTTATTTCAGCTTGTCTTAGCCCAATCTGTAGTTTCAAGTATTGCACACTTCTGTGCTGTATGACAGTGCCACATTGTCTCCTGATTCCACAGACCTACCAGCCACTCCTCATCACTGCCGATAATTTGGGATTAGAAAAAAACGCAAAAAACATCTGTCATGTTTCCAACCCACAATCAACTTCCATTTCTAACTTCAATCATAATTATCATCATCATGGCATTCTGGAGTCAGTGTAAAATTCCAGACCCCAACACTCTGTTTAATTATGATGCATGGCAAATGTAGTTTCCCTTGAGTATATCTATAAGTATCTTTCAATAAAAATTGTCCTTAAAATGCTTTCTTCTCCTTTAATTACAATGAATATTTTAGTGCATACACAAAGTCTATAATACATCAGAAGAACTTTCTCAGAAAGTTTGAACACTGAGGGCCATTTGAACACTAAAAACCTTCTCTAAGTCTGTATTACTTTCTCTTAACAATCCTTTCAAAGAAATGAGAAATTTTTTTCACTATTCAATATAACCATAAGAACACATTGTTCCCCCCATAGGGCGAGTGAAGTGTTTCCTACTTGAATACAATGTATATATGTACCATTAACATTTTACCAGTTATGAATACAATGTACTCCATCAAAAGACTTCTGAATTGAATAAACAAAAAACAAAAAAAAAACAGTGTCACTAGACACAGGGTATCCTTCTTTGGTGGCCACTTTGGGTCCCACAATCTGTTCAACCAGTAGGCTACAATGCTACCCTGAACCAGCAGGGCCAGCCAGGGGTGGTCTGTACTCCCAGTCACATGACACACTCACATGACCTGGTCTGGTGGCACACGTACTTCTCACAACCCTGCCACATTATTGAATACAAACACGTTTTGTGTTTATCTATAAATATAAAGAAAGGCATACCAAAACGGAGAGCAATTTATACAAGTGCATTCTGGCACAAAAGTGTAAAAGTTCTGCAAAAAAACACCTACTGACTAGCAGCAAGCACATATGATAGGACCGTTCCTGCTTTGTTAACCGCCATATCAGTACTGGATCAAAAACAGCTGAAAGTGCCAGCTAAAAAGGTTTGCATGACATCAAAACAATCAAAGGTAGGTAGAGAAAACCAGACTAATATGATCTTGAGCGAACTCCCAAGTGGCAAGTATCTTGCACCAATCCTACGTGCTACTTTTTGCAGGAGTTGGAACTTCTTTCATTTGCTGCTGTAAAGGCAACAGTGCTCAGATGGGTTCAAAATCGTATACTTCATCAAAAAGAAATAATAACTTATTTTACTGCACTAGCTACACTTCGAATAAAATGGACACAGAATCTTTCATAGGTTAGGAAATTTTTGTTCAGTTCTTTTTCAACTGAAAGCCGACAACAGCAAAATCAGTAGACTTCAAACCAGAATCATGTTTGCAATTGCCAGGGTAAACTCTCATCGGTTTGCCATTACTATCATCACTTTAATCTCCACAGCATCTGATAACAATCACTCTGTTCCACTCACACTCAAACATTCTCTGGCTAAATAAACCACTAACGGCAGTATATCATTTCACAACCAACTGTACAGTTCTCACAATCCTTTTGCTCATCCTCCACTACAGGCTAAACATCACCCTCCCCCACACACACACCCCAAAGCTGCTAGATTTAACATTCAAAAAAAGGTCCACCAGAAAATTGGCTCTCGAAACACTTTCTTCCAAAAGGCCAAGGAAAGGCATACATTTGCATGACTTGATTTCAGCATGGGATTTTAACAGAAAAATTGGAACAAAGTGCCTTGTCTGGGAACTTTGTTTCCTGATGTGAGAATTAAGCTTGGCTCGAGTGCTACGTATGATGTAGGCGATGCATCTCATCATTATTCTATCACCACAATCTATCACACTCACCACCCTCAGCATTCTCACCCCAGTCACCATCAACACTTCCTTAACAATTGTGACCATCTCTTTCCTTGTCATTACCACTTTCTCACCCCGGTCACCATCACCACCGCACTCACCATCCTGACCATCTCTTTTCTTGTCATTACCACTAATCACTACACCAATCCAAAGTTTGTCACTATTCATTCAACCAAGATCAGTTGATAATCCTTTCCCAATGGTGACGGTGCATCAACTACTCTTTTTCCTTTTTTTGATTGTTTGTGCTGTCATGAAGTTCTTTTTTATGTTGTGCCTACATATTTTCAGTGCGTTACATTGTGCACATTCATTCAAACAATTTTCCCTTTCTTTATCAGCGCTCTCACAAAAATTTATAGTCACTTTGCAACAGCATTATGACCAGTTTCCAAAGCAGGAACCATACCATGTCAAATAAAACAAAATTGCCTGCAAGTATGTGCCACAATACTCTCTCGCAAGTCCAGGCTGTTTAACTTTCTTTGCCAGGTGGAACAAGGGCAATGACTGGCTATCTCTAGCACACTAATCCTGTAGACAGCCAATCAGAACAGCTGATGTATGTCTCCCCTGGCAAGTTTTGGTCAACAGGCACCATTGAGATGAGACTTGATTTTGAACCAGTGAATTACTGCTAAAAGTCCAATGGGATCCGTGCACAGGGACTCTTTTATCAATAAAGAAATGTGAGTGCCACTGCCAATGTTATACTCTCTTTCAGAGTTGATGGTACCAGCAAATTGAGGCACTAACTTCGGCATCGGTCCCTACTCCCCTTTTCAGTCTACAATACTGAGCAGAGGTGCTCGGGAAGCCCGACTCTTATCGGCAGAGACCACCCAGCTACAGCCTAGTCCTCTCTGAAGACTGATCCCATCTAAGAACAGGCAAATGGTGCATACAAACAAGCCATGTGTAAAGGCCCTTAACTGCCCCTCAATTTTGTTAAGTCAGACATTGCCCACTGCACTATGAGCATTGACCCAATAAGGTCGTGCCACAGAAGCTGGTTTATAAGTGGTTAGAGAACAATGTGCAACCTGGATAAAGCAAAACCTTCTTAATTCCCATTTGGTCCAAAACAGTACCTCTGTTTTTGTGACAGCCTCAAGCAAAAAGTAATTGCAGCACACAACTTGGTTCCAGACAGAAAAAAATGACACCTAGGCACAAGTAGTCTACACAACAGCCCGTAAAAGTGTGTGTTAGTGCAGTTTCAAACAATCCAGAAAACAGCATCTGTCGAAGAAGCTGTGGCAATTCACTAAAATCCTGGAATCCAAGAAAGAAAATATTTTATGTATCACACACCAATATATAATCTGCCAGTAAAAACTCTCTTAAAATCTCAAATATACAACAGAATAAATAGTAAATTTGAAGAAAACTGTTATCATGGCTGTAATTTTCATGATTGCCATGGCCAACATATATTAACAAAATGGCGTTACTCAAACCAACCTGAACATTTCCAAACCAGAGGTACCAGAGATCACTAAACTGGCATTTAAAAAAACATACCTGGTAAATTATTCAGTGTATCCTGGTATGTTATATATCCAATATAGCCCACTCATCATACCAGATAAGCAGTTGATAAATACACCGTCAACTGCCTTTTTAAAGCAAGGATAGTCTGGTTGCGTGTGCATAACCTAATTGGTGAATGTATTGTGCCACTTTAAACCCAATGCCAGTTACACTGCAGTTGACTTAACCTGATTTTAACGTTGAGAGTAAATGATTTAGACAAAGCACAAAGGACAAACTCCACTGTTTTTAGCCGGTGCAACTTGCATTCGGTTCACACAAAAGAAGGACAAGTTAACACGGTGTCTGCACATATGCCATCTGGATGGTAACGCCAATATTTCAGCACGTACAAAAAACCCGCTACATAAACACAAAAGGTGAAACGCGATAGTTATCGCTAGTTTGCCATTGAATACATGTCTTCGTCTGGCACTCTGCCTACCTAGTCAATACACTGTAATTACAACTTCTCATAGTGCGCACAGAAAGGAAACTTCTTGAGGCAGAAAGATCGAGCGTGTAAATATATTGCAAAATGCTAAAAGAAGTCAACACGTTTAAAAAGCCATGATGGAAAAAAGGTGCCGAAATGAGACTGCACTAACAGAATTAAAAAGTATGAAAATGTTTACTTGCACCTGCTAATTGTATTATAATACAGTTTATATATAATAAGAAAAGGCACAATATATAGAAAACATTAAAACCAAATCATTATCAAGCGATATTTTGTCTGTTCTTCAGTACATGGAAAAAAATTGTCTTTACATTAAATACATATACAAGGGTGCGTCCGATCTGACACCCGAAGAATGTTGCGCTTTTTGGAAACAAAAAGGAAATATCAATACAAAGACACATAAATCAAAAAAGAAAAATATATATGTATTATATGTATATATAAACTGCCTATCAATATGATTAAGGTGAATTACATACACATTCATTTTTACACACAGACTACTAGTACAAACAACCCATGTAATATCTTTCGTTTTCTTCAAAGTGACAGAAGTTTAGTTCTTCGAGAAGTTGCACATTATTATTGGTTATATCTTTTTGTTACAAGTGCTATATTTACATCAGGAGAAAAAAATGTGATCACCGTCCATGTTTTGTGGCTTTTGCCCGGGATGGCTCCGCAGCATTTTGTCAGGCAAACAGCAGGGCTGGCTGTTGGTGACTAGCCAACTCCACTACCATCAAGGAATGGTTGTACCGGCCCAGCAAACCAATCAAATTTTTGGTCTCACGGGTGACTTTCCCAGTGGACCGCCTCGACTGACTCCTGCAGTGAACCATATTGTTTTTACATAGTAACCTCTTGGTATTTTGCAAGACAAAGGATGCCTACCTTTGGCAAAGGAGAGAAAAACTGGCAATGACCGCAATGATTCCAAACCTGAAGGGATACTGCAGCGGTCAGCCAGAAAGCAAAAACCAACCCAAACTGGGCTGGGGTGGGGTGGGGGGTGGGGGAAATTGGAATATTCAATTCCCCTCTCAAAGGTATGTGGGCTTTGCTTAATATGTTGGATGTGACATTCAGATACCACTGCCATGAAGTTTAGAACAGCAACAAAATTGGTAAAATGTGCCAACAAAATGGCTGGAGACTTCTTTGTACGTCGTATGGGGTAAAGACCTACTTGGAAACGAATTTCAATTTAATGTGCAGAAACTGTAAGATTCTGATGGACCGGGATGTCTGTTTTTTTTTGCATATATATCTCTCCTTTGCCCAAGTCTATGGGTGATTTATACCATTCCGTTTTGGCTCTCAACACCAAACCAAAAGCCTACTCAGATGTCAAAGGACAGGCGTTCAGCATTTGTTCCGGTTTGCCGTTGGCAAACAGCTCCAGCAAAATTTTGACAACTCACTGGACTGGAATCGTAGGTACAAACAACCCACTGGAGATGAAATGAGTGTCAACAGATGAGAGCATGCTGATATGTGCACGCAGAAAAGCCACACGTGTTAATATCTTATGTGAAAGGCTATTTGATGAAATGTGTACTGTATACAGGTAAAAAAATTACATATACTTCATATGCTTCAAACAGTTTCTTTACAAGTGACAGCTTCAAAATTTGACAATAATTAAAAAAAATCACAGAAAGTGATGCAGATTGTTCACAAGTCTAATAATGTGTATGAACCAACATGGCTCAAAACATGTGTTATGCACATTAAGCGTTGCACAAAGCAGTACACGATTTTGAATATCCACGAATGGTTATTAAGTTTATACAGTTTATTTATTAAGAGGTTTAGCTCAAGAATGGTTACTTAATTGCTTGAGGTGATTTTTTCTTCGTTTAATTTGCATCGGTTTGGGAAAAAAGCCTTATCTTTTGGTTGACAAGCAACCTGGTTTTTTAGTAGCTCTAGTAGTGTTGGTAGGAAATGGTTACAATAGTGTACAGCAGTAAATAGGTGGATAGAAAACAGCACCTCAGAGGTGCTTCAAGTTGGCCGCGGGTCATGGCTACAGTTATTGCACAAATTGACACATACCCTGACAACTGCAGAACTAGACAACATTCAAACCTGCTGCCACAACCAAGTCTTCTCGCTCAAGTAACGTCAATGGTGTACTCTTATTTCTACATGGCAGTTACAATTTTAAGAGACCTACAATTTGTGGTGTGGATGGCAACATTCTGGACACTGTTCACTGTTATATACCAAGTCCTCACCCTGGGTTACTGAAGCACAGACCAGTTCAATATTTTTCACTTCTCTTTCCTCAGTGGTGGGCAAGTACACAATTTTCTTCTTACTTCTTACTGGTTGCCCAGACAACAAAAGCTATTGCAAAATTTGGATTTCCTTCTTTTGCTTCTCAAATTTGTCCAACTATTTTTGCCTTCTTTCTTTTGTGACAAGACAGCAGTTCACTTCTGTGGATTTCAACGCGGCTCTTGTGAAACAAGTTTGTACTGAGTTTGCAGATAATTTTTTATGCCCACACTTTCTCATTAAAATATCCATCAACTTTCGCCTCGAATAATTCCACCCTTACCCGATAAATTCCACAAATTTGCACAACAGGTATCTATTTTACATGAATTTTTACCAGCTCCAATGCATAGATAATGAGTTTGGGGGATCTCAACTACATTTTAGAGTGATAGCTACTGAAACTTAGCCAAATCTCTAGCTGTCACAGGACATACGTCCTCAGTTGCTGTCACAAAGATTGGTACCATTAACAAAGAGGTCATATACTACATATGCATGACCTGTAAAATTTGCATATTAAAATCTCTCTGCTCTAGAATTTACATTACGTTAGGCTGTAAGAGTATAGAGATACTTTATTTTCATAAAATTAGCATTGAATACCACAGTCTGGTGCACTTTTTTGTGACCTGTGCACGAGTGTCTTCACCCACCAAACTTCATATTGAGAAGCCAGACTTCGTGCTTTGGATTAAGACTTCCATGATTCAATGTTGTTGTAATGGAATAGCAATATATTTTGTAAAGTGCTTCCCAACACTGCCCTAATAACCCAGAGCATTTGCTGTGAGGCGCCACCATCCTATTTACTCTTCAGGGTCCTCACAAGATTTATCCATCAACTGACACTGGGCATTGGTGGGCCAGGACAACTGTCTGGTGTCTGAAATGTGAGTGGAGATCTTCCTCTTGGACAGACCTTGTCTATGAGCTAAGTAAGAGAGTACTCCTTCTAAACCTGATTATTCAATGATTGTGCTTGAAGACAGAAAGAATGTGTCAGAGAATAATAGGGCTATCTCCCTCTATTAAAGGTCCTGGAAACCGGGGTGACTCTTGATGAAAAGACAACAATTTTGGCCATTCAATGTGTTTGAAAATTTAAGAACAGTTGCGTTTTTACAAATGAACAGTGCTTACTCAACACGGGTATCCTGACCTGAATTATGCTCCATGTTGCAGGAGCGAACCCAATTTTGATTTGAAAATGTTGTGAAAAATGAAACAAGAGTTCAGAAAACGAAACCAAAAAACAAAAAAAAACAAAGCAACTGGACTACCTGGGTGCTAGACCGAATGAATGCAACTCGGTGTAAGCTGGACAGGACTTTGTTCTGGAAAGTCAACTTTGTTTAAATGTACATTGGTGATTCCACAACCTGTGCCTAAACATTATGGCTTAAACCTGTGTCACCTCAGGACAAAAAGTCAAGCAATAAACATCCCAACAAATCTCTCCAGCCATTTTGGGCTGAACAAAAGATAGCTGTTGATCTGGCTCTAAGCAGGTGGATACAAATAAATCAAACATGAGTTTCGCTTCAGGTAACGATTTGACAGTGAAGGAAAAAAACAAACATGTTCACTGAAGCAGTGGAAATCTGCAAATGGTCAGGGTCCAAAAAATCTTGGCAACTTTCTGTTTGGTCTTCTTCCCATCTTGGATGTAATCCCAAAAACCACATTAAACTTGCTGCTTATTCTTCTGTGGTGCAGCGCCACACCCAGCTATGAAAGCATGGGCAGAATTTGTTGAGGGTTATTTCTGTAAGTTCATGAAGGCGTGCAGCCTGACATGGATGACTGTGTTCGAGCCAAACTGAGCTACATTAACTTCTCAATATTCTGTATCACATGAGATTTCAGAGGCCCGATACTAATCCAGCATGGTTTAGACGTAGAGGAAAATGACTGAGAATGACTATGCTCTATTACACAATAAAACAGGCATCAAGAAAAGATCAAAGATGAAATTGCATCTACACAAGCTGGTACGAAGTCCATAGAGAGCACCTTTCCAAATGATATGCATCAAACAGCTGTTGATTTTCCTCTGCACTAATGAGTGAACTTTGTTTTTTTTTTGGAAGAAAACTGCAAAGATCCATCAAACCTGAAGTTGGAAACCTTAAATATCTCTGATGACCACTGCTTAGGCTGATCATACGCAAGAACCTGCAGAACACATCGGACAGCAACTTGACCTGATAGCTTAAGTGGCATTGCTGCTTGCAGGCTTGAAGGGGAAAAAAGGCTGTCAAGAACAAAAACACCACTACGGTTGTTTTTTTCATCTTTCAGCCAGCTGGAAATCTGAAAATGAAAGTCATTTTTCTACTTCCATGAAGACAACCAGCCATAAGGAAACGACAGAATCCCCGAGGGAGTCAACTCCCTGATGAAGGAGTCTCTGAATCCTGCTGGGACAGGTTAAGGTCGGCCTCCACGTGACCTGGGTGAGGGTGAAGGATCACGAGGAGCTCGCTCCACTGGGCCATCATGGTAGCGAGAGTACTGATCGGGATATGGGCCCGACCTGGTGTGTTCATACATGTCCTCCATCTCAATATCCCGATCCCGTGTTCTGGAGCGGCCGCTGCTTGGCCCACTACTACGTTCGGGGTACATATACCTGTCCCTGTCAGCACTGCCTCGGGACCTCTCTGAGGACTCATAGCGCCCCTTGGGCTCATAGTGTTCTCGTTGTGAGCCCCGGTCAGGGTAGTCACTCTCATATCGGACCATGTCACGTTCCATGTTAAGCCTGTCCCTGGAGCCGCGGGAACTTTCCCGTGGCTCGCTGCGGTAGTCGTGCCCGCGCTCACGACCCCGCTCTATGTCACGGTCACGAGTCCTCTCTCGCGGGTGGCGCCGGTGATCGTAATCACGATCATATTCCTGGTTGTCTCGCCGCTCGTTATCATAGTAATCGTTGGACCGCCGAGGGCGCTCATCTGGTGACATGCCCCGATTGTCGTCGTGATCGCTATCATCCCGACGGTCCGGGTACATGTAATCTGGCCGGGAGTCACTCCGGTATCCACTCTCAGCCTGGTCGCCATGGCTCTCGTAACGGTCGCTGTTGTTGCCATCGTGCTCGTCTTTCCCCTTTCGCTTGTGCTTGTCGTGCCTGTGGGATCCCACCCGGGACAGCAGGCTGTGCAGGGGCGAGGACGTCCGTGAGACCGAGTTGTGTGCCGGTGTTGGTTTCGGTGGAGTGGTGGGCTCTGGTCCATGGGCTGCCTTCCAATATGCTTCCAGGTAATCTGCTAGATGCTCGCATGCATCTTCCAACTGGTTTTCATCTAGGATCACATCAAACAGCTCCTGCAAAAAAAAAAAAATTACCATTATCAGCTTAACTCTGCTAACTTATATAACAGTTAATTTGATGTCTGTAAATGTCTCCTATTTTACTTACTGCATTTCTTCTTCTGTAACACCCTCCAATGATGGATGAATCCCTTTAAAACATTCTTTAATTTTTGTATCCAGTGTTGTATTACTTCTCCAAACTCCAGTTTGTTTTGCACTGGGAACATGGCATTAAATTTTCAAACAGGTGGTTCACTGTCCGGAGTCTGGGATACTCAGAAAAACCAAAGGAGGGTTGCCACATCCAAAATCAGAAGTAATGGTTTGGCTTTTGCCATGTGTGTGACAGCCACAACCACAAACAACAATGCCTGTTTCGGATAGGAATTGTCTGACAAAAGCTTAACTATGTTCTGTCGCAAGACACACCACTTCAACTCACTTGCGGACACTGCTGGAGTTTATCCGCTGCTACTAGCTGGACGTTCAGGTTGCGACTCTGGGACTTGGACCTGGACTTGATAAGCCTCTGCAGGACCTTGGGGGAGGAGATCTTGACGTAGACGAGGATCGGGGCCAGGGAGGTCTTGGCCAGCTGGGTGGGGTGGTTGATGGTGTCGCAGTCCAGCACCACCAGCTGCATGGAGCGGGCCAGCTCAAATATTCTCTCAATCTCTGCTTGGACCTCGGCTGTGGGGAAAAAACAGTAACAAAAAATACACAAGTGATTTGAGGGATCTTATTGTGGGCTACTCATGGCTGGCGATGCAGGCTGCCATGTGGAAGAAAAAAGCAAACGGGCCTTCCCACCTTCTCTTCAAGAAACAAGCCTGCATTTTCAATCAGAATGGGAAGCAAGCCATCATGACATCCAAATAACTCTCAAGTTTTGAGAGACACTGTCAGAAATGCATTCGTTTGAACTTGGATGTCACTATTTTAGCAAGCAGAGTAAAGCCACTCACACTGTCCAAGGAAAGAACATGGACATATACAGACTAGGTGCATATGTCATGCAGCTGTTACACACGGAAAATAGTAACTAAGGAAAATTAAGCCACAACATCATGCACTGCTTGTGACCGCAGATTCTCAGCTAAAAAATTACTTCAGTTGTAGCTGGTGCATACAGTGAGGAATGTGTGCTACAGAAAGAAACTCTGTTAGCATGTTTCAAAGGAAAGGCACCAATTCTGGGTTATGTGCATGTATATACAGCATTTAAGGATTCAGTACTCAACACTGGGTTGATGTACGGAAATAAAAAAATTACAGTGGTCTCCCCGTAAGCACAGAACGGTTAGCATTAGAACAGGATGCCGTTGTAAGTTTAGCCAGGAAATTGGGCCCAGAGCTTTGAAATGCTGCGCATCCCTTCGGCTCAGCTTCCACACACTGCATCAGTCATCTGGACTGGCAAGTCTGATAGTTTCTCCACAGCTGCACGTCTTGTGCAGACACATGGCTCTTGCCATGAATAAGATATGCACTTATCTCTGTGGGCCGGGGTGTTAACACCTGCTAATTCATGTGATGTAAGCCGTCATCCCTAAGTCAGCCAGTGATGAAGGGCACGCATACCTTCAGAACACCTAATAATGGCATCACCACAACCCTCAGAACTGTGCCAATTTCAAAGTCATTCCTGAATTCTTGTTAACCGAGCTGTTAACATGTGGGCCAAAATTAGATACAAATGTGTATCATGAACTACAGTCAGCTTCTTTGCGAGAATTAAATAACACAGGAATAAAAGGCTAGCCAGAAATCAACTAAGCCAGAAATTAACTTCGCACAGTGTTTACGGTTTCCCCCCCAAAAAAAAACTTTTTCAGAGCACAAGCTTAAAATTGCTTCTCTGCCAAACATGAGTCTCTCCGTCCATTGAGATTACTACTGAAGCCAGTGAAAAATCCTGCACAGTTCTTTATAGTGTAATAACTGCTTCTTCAGACAGACCAATCCCAGACAGTATACAGCCCCCCATCTTTCCCCAGCTGAGTTCCCCCCTTGCCCCCATCGGCATGCATCGGCGTCTGACTCAGAAGGTCCAGAATTGAGGACAAGACGTTCTGCTCTGCTTCCCCATCGTCTAGCATACTCAAACAGCGAATACCCTAGCAAGCCATGCGTGCGGTTTCAACCCCATCGTCCCAAACTCATTCATGTGGTCGCCGCGAACAATTTGGCAGGTGTTAACTATCCAAGCACGTACGCTTGCTGATCAAATCGGAATGGGCAATCTGTGAAAAGCTAACATTGGCACCATCCTGTGAGATGCAGTGGCGAAACTGCTTCGGAGATGGGGCACTCCTGGTATTCCCAACAAAGGACAATACTTGCCTCACAACATTTTTGTGTGCTTTGTGACAGATTAGTTCAGAATCAGAACTGTCTACACCATTATCAAGCTCTGTTGTATGACTTCAAACTGACCTCAAGTGGAATTTCTTTCAGATCTTTGGAAATTAGCGACAGTCAGAGGTGTGAAATTTGTATTTCTTGTGTAAAATCATTTCTTTATATAACATGCATCCTCAGCCCTTCCAGATTGGATTTATGAAGACAGGAAGAACACTTTAAACTAGTGGTCTGGAAGCTCATTTAAAAATATTTGCAGTACAAAAAGGAACATGAAGTTTCAGACAAAGACTTAAAACTATACACCACTTTAAAAATCTCTCCATTTTGGCGTACCTTGTAAAAACTACCTGCTAAAGAAAGACTCGGTAAATTTCATTGCATGCATCATCTGGCATTTCACTTGCATTTTATATCCCTCAAAAAATTACTGTCCACACGTTCTTTGAAGCAGACACCATCTGCTTCCAATTCTCAGTCAAACGCTTCGCAGTGCACCTGGTGATACCAGGAGAGATGGTTTCACATTTCAGATCAAGCCAGCAGATGACAGACGGTCATTTTTAATGTTTTTGTCTTCTACTTACCAATGCTTGAGGATCGGCTGTTGGAGCGTTCCATAATGGCACGCTTGTTGGGGTTGTTCATGACGGAGCGTTTGGCCAAGGCAATGTCGGCAGTTACCCTCGTAATCGATATTCTGCATGATGAATTAAAAAAAAAGGAAATACAAAAGAGAAACGTAAGAGCGACTTGTAAATTATCAGAGGGATAATATTTCAAAACCTTTGGTGGGTCGCTGAAAAACAACAGGCTGGGCCAATACACTGTATGCACTTGTAACATTTGTTTTTCCTACTTTCTGAGGGACTTAAGTGATTTTCCTGAAAGACAACATGTTTATCAGAGCAAATGTCACCACAGACAATATCAACCAGAAGATTCTGCTCACCTAGGACTACTGGAAAAATGTAACCCTTGAAAAACCTACGATGGAAAAACAACTCTCCATCGGTTCTCTAAATCAACTCATCTTGTGACCGTTGTATTTCTCCTTTTCCCAACTTCCGCACACAAGCATGCATTTGGATTTGACAAATTACTCAAAGGGATGCCACACATGCATCAGCATCATTCGCATTGGGACCGAACAGCCTGTGTGACCTTTCCTTTGCGAAAGGACCCTGGGATGGCTATGGGGATACTTGCCTGACTCTACAATAGCTGATCAGGCGGTTCCCTGCTACAAGTATTAGCATTCTGGCCCGCACTCTGGGCACCGGGCTGTCTCTGTGACATTTTACCTTCATTTATTTCTGAGTGCTTTGCAAATTAAGTGAGGCACAAGCGCCTAATGTGTAGTCCCGAGGGATGGCAAGCGATAAACTTGATTTCTAGGAGTTCTGTGGCATGCAACTTGTTTTTTCTTTGACTGAGTGCAATGACACCATAATTAGTTTCTCTTTCCTGCACTTTTTTTTCACAAGTTTGTTTTTCAAATCAAAAGAAATGATGTGCAAACTGTTCGTTTTCCACCAAATGCCAAACTAGTTGAAATTTTTGTCAGAGTACACATACATATACAAGGATCAACTACAAAAAAGCCCTATGTCACATCAACCAAGAAGTGTCTGACCTGTGAATTCAACTTTTTGAACAAATTAAGCAGAAACTAATTTTGGAAGCATTTGGAGAAGATCAACCAGCTGTCTAATTGTCTGTTTCTCTTCTCTTATCAACCTAGATTTAAAGTACAGTGACAATCATGGATACTCTGCCAATGAACAGCTTTGTCATTTCCAGTGTTGATAACAGCAAGTAAACATGAATGACTACTAGTGACCCAAGTCCTAATGAATGCCATGCAATGTTGATATGTACATGTGTGGAGCCAGTGGGGGACTACAATACCAGTTCAGAGGTGGATTGTCACCTTTTCTACAGTGTACATCTTCAGCAGAGTTCCCTCAAGTGTCTGTGAAAATGCTCATGAATCCAACAGATTCCAACGGTGGCTAAATTCCTAAATGAGCCAACTTCAACAAATTCAGCTCAACCTGCTTTGACTGACAAGCTCTGACAAAAAGGAGAGTGATTTTACAATATCACTACACAGTGCAGCTCCACTGTATGACAATAATGCATGGCTCCCTGTACATGTACTTTGCTTATGTTTTCTTAACCAGCTCCTCCAACTTCCCTTCTTAGCATCAAACAAGATGCTACAGCCATTCATAAATTCTTCTCCTCCTAAACTAGCATCAATCTGAGTAACCGCCTGTGTGTTTTCTTTTCAAAGCACTCTGATGAGAAAAGGTACCATGTAATTACCAATGCTGCCCCTTAAATCAGAGGGAGGTCATTTGGGAACAGACAATGGAAGGGGATGACACCGTATTTTGAATCGCTCCTATTGCTTACAGGCAGATCTTGCCCTGTTCAGAGGGGTTTAGAGTTTTGCATGCTGCCTTACAATCTCTGGCAGAAAAACTGAAAAACAGAACAGCATCCTTCAATTAAGTGCATTACCTCCCCTCAAACTTGCGCTTGAGGTAATCAAACAGTGCCTTCTGCATCATGTCGGTGACTTCGTAGCCTTTTAGGGAGGGGCCAACCAGGACTACAGGCCGCATGGAGGGGACCACGTCATAGGGTGGTATATTCTCCGTCTGGAAAAAGAAAGCCGGCCATCATTTCAAAATTTGATTTCATCACCGTCCTTGGAGAAGTAAGATTACCCTTAAGTACTGGGTAGGTAAGTCTTCTTACATTTGATAATGTTAAATTTGGTTTCAAAATCATTAAACCCCCAACCAAACAATGAAATAATACTCTATATTGAAAATCAAAGTATCCAAATGGATAACAACTCTAACACAATCCACAACTCTGCACTGCTAAAGCGACACCATGTCCATAAAGGCTAAAGCATGGCATAACCCAGTTTTGTGGAACAAACCGAGAAAAAAATGCACCGACACGCAATGATAAAGTACAAATAAATGTTTTGAAAATATTGGTACTTTAAAAAGAACCCGACCCCTCGTATAGCACAATAAGTTGTTATGGGAAGTGGATTGAGCAGAGATAAATGTCCTTGACTGTATAGTCACAAGGATGTTCATTTCACCATTTATTGTGAAAACCAACCTTCCAACCAGACTGCACAATGGGTGGTGAAATTGAGGATTATACAGTCACGGATGCTAGGTATCTCATTCAGTTCACATCAATAATTACAGTGTCTCTTGATATGGGCCAGGTCAATTTTTACTGCAGTGCCTACTGGGCAAAACCAACAGACCAGGACGTGAAGAGTGGTGTGTTTTCAATGATTGTCACAGGTATATACAAATTCTGGTTTATAGAACTGGAAACCGGTTAGGGGGCAGGGTGACTACAATAATAAAATGACGATGCAAGAATTGTGGTATTATGCTGCCTACCTTTTTGAAGAACGGTTTCCTCTTCTCCTTGGGCTGGGGCGAGATGGTGCTGCTCTTTGAGCGGCTCAGCGTCTCACTGTCGTCCACTTCCCCCATTCCATTCTGATCCATGTCAATCCCTACATTGCAAACGAGAGCACAGCCCAAAGACACTTGTCAATAATGCAGATCAGGTTTCTGTTACCGACAAAATTTGAGGATCACTGATGCAGGCTTAAATCTAAGAGCTCCGATCAGAAAGAATTGAACTACGGTGAATAATTCCTAGTGTCAATCTACAGTTTCAAAACATGGTCTGAATGTGCTTTGTTGACAATGCCTCACATTCCCATTTGACGCTTGGCAAATCCTCATCCCTGGCCACCATATAATCTATGCCTGGGTTAACATTTCACAGTGTACACCCATGCAGTCTAACATTTGCAGGTCCAGTGATGCATCCAATGCATTAGCTTATTGCTCGGTATTCGTAAGCCAACCCCCTGCCCTGGGGATTTCTTTATGAAGAACCTTCCTGAACACCTCTAAAATTTTTAACAAGGCAAGGGCTATTGTCACATTTTCTGAACTTCAACTTTCCTGGGGTGCTATGCCCAGCGACACGTACACGTTCAAACTTAAATGAAATGCACTGTTACCCTTGGTGTTGGGTACTGTCTCAAACTGTATATGCTCTGTACTTTAGGGAGAGTTATACACGTGAATACTCATTTCATAGTTAGAAGCAGAGTTTATTGTTTAAGATTTTTTCTGGCTACGTAATGTTTAGAATACTTTGTGAATTATTCTTCTGCATTTGTACTGATGGCCAGTTCACCAGCCAATGGGTACGCAAAACAATACGACAGTAACGCAGACAGAGAGAAGTCTCTTTTCAATACCCAAACCCCACGGCATTTTCTCCATGAAATGGGGGATTGTTTCTTGTGGGCTTATTGTTCTGACTGTTTCCCCATGACAATGCCAGTTAAAGAACATAAGACGTCTCCCTCAAATATACCTGTGGGCCACACGCAGAACTTAATAAATTTGACATCCATCAGTGCTGGCATACAGAGCAACTGGACTAAAAATTTCTGCTCCCCTGTAAATTCTTTGGGGAAATAATAAAGACTTTATCCCATTGTGCTTGCATGGAATGTCCTCCCATAGTTCATGGCAGGTTAGATCAATCAGATTCTGTAACTTCTTCAGTCTCCTACAAATCTAATTCAGTCTCGCTATTTATGCACAGTGTATGCCTCTGCTCTGTACAGGCAGTACACACATTTTATCGCGCTTGGACAAAATTGGCCCAATTTAGCAAGGCCTGAGTTCATTCCTTTCTATGCCACTGTGGGTCAAAGTATGCGTGTCCTTGTTACACGTACCCGCACTTAATATTCCTTTTTTATATAAGGCACTGCACAACTTTTACTTGCGTAACATTTGAAACGAAGATTTCACTGAGCCTGTACCAAGGCACACTGGACGTAATCACACAACACCACATTAGAGAAGAATTTTGAGACCAACTTAAGGATTCCATTCAAATTCCTGAGGCCTCTTCGCTTCAGTCTGAAAAGATGGATGGGGCAAGGTTGAGAGGTCGCCGTGTATTTACATGTGAAACTGGTCACACAGAAGTAATCTACATTTCAGTCAAGAAAAACACACCAAAGTTAAAGCATTCTTATGAACTGACATTCACTCCTCAGATTATTAAAAAAAAAAAGGAAACACGGAATAATGTTCTCCTTTTTTGGCAGACTATGCTTGGCAAAATCAAGTTTGAAATCACAGGTACAACATACCTCATTCTAATATTCTACTTTCCCCTTTAGGGCAAAATACACAAGAGATATTTACAGTAACCATCTCTGGAAGTGCATCACACCCAATATTTTGAGACACCAATATTTATCCCCCAAGCAGAGTGTAAAATATTTTTAAACCATCAACTCATTCGGGTCAATAAAAAAAACCCTCTTCGAGCAATTAGATGTACTCAAGGGGATGCCACAGCACACGTCAAGCAACATAACACCACTGACATTTCAAAGATGTACGTATGTAATGCCAAGTCGGGGAACCCAGGTCAGAAGGCAGCACAAAATGTCACTGAAACACAGAGAAAAAACAAACACTGTGGATTTGGCGTCTGTGCTAAGATTGTAAATTGCAGTAGAAATTACAGGTATTGACAAAAGCAATTTTCAAATTCAGGGGGACAATCAATGTGCTATGAAATCAGTGAAGAAAACAAGAACTGTTCAACTTACAGTAACGCTGCCATTGAAAAATAAACATATTCTATTCTTTGCTCTTCCTTCACAAAAGGCATGACTGCACTTTTGGCTATGGTGCATCCTCAATCTTATAAAACACTTCAAACTGCCCCCATGGGATTTGTTGGATACAGCCTCAATCCTCCAAAATCTTCCAGTATTTTTTTTACTATGTTCCATGGAGGGTTTAACCACTGTATAAATCCATGAAAGTCCTCTGGTAATTCCTATCATTACGTTGAGGCAGTGCACATGGTATCCTGGAGCAGTATGGAAGATTCCTAACGTGATCTTATCCTAAATTTATGCATGGCAGAGCATTATTAACGCAAACTCTCACCAACGACCTTGACACAATGCATCCTTCACAATCAGCAACTCAATTTTGCCTTACAGCCTACATCCTCCAAAATTCTCCAAAAACCATCTAAAGGATTTTGGAGGATTCAGGATGCTTATGGTTAATAATTTCTGCATGTATTTTTAAAAACTGGCTCATATGTGCATGGTGGAAGTTTAAGGAGAATGGATTTTCCACTGAACAATCTCATTTTGGTTTGTGTTTCCTGTCAATTTTGCAGTGGGTTAATAATAAAATGTGTGCACACCACTCGTGAAAGTGCTTAGCACCATCCCCCCTTCCTTTGAAAATTCTAATTAACTGACAGGCAGCATCTATATGACCAAATGAAAGGCCGGCAAAGTTAGCCAAGCCTGCACTACAGTTGGACTCATGTCTGACCAGAGCAAAAAAACCAAACCATGGAGGTCGCCGTAACAAATTGGGAGGACATCGTGATGAGCAATACTCAGATATGGGATAGAACAGCTAAATTGAGGAAGTTTCTGCACGTGAGGATAGGTTGGGACTGCATTTTTAATGAAGCAATGTTGAGCTGTCTCCAAAGGACTTTGCTATGGATGGAAATTACATGAGATCTGTGGGAAACGTGTGAAGCCGCTAGCTGACGGCTTCCATAACCATCACAAGAGAGATACACGCAGCATTCATTACCACTCTTCTGTTTCAGATTTTTTACTCTTTTCCTGAAATACACGTACCAGTTCAAACCTTTTTCCTGCTTTCATATCAGCCTAATGGGCCATGATGGATTGGAAACTGCTGGTTTGAAAATTACTCGGAAAAGCTTTTCACTTGGATAAATGACCCATGCAATTAATGTAGCCATACATTCAACATCGTAACTCATTACAGCGCAGAACATTCTGGATTAGTGTACGACGCACTGTGCTCATTAGCCGAGTCAAAAAATCAAATATCCTTGGCACAGTACATGCAAGCGTACACCTCTCTCATTATGAGACTGCCCAAGGTGGCGCGATACTGCAAACGTCAGCCTATTGAAGACAAGCGGGACTCAACATAATTTATGAAGCTTCCCTGCATTAAGCTGATGGGCTTGCCACAGCATGCCAGAGGGGTCCAACAAATTCCACTGATAAGCTTACTGCTAAAAATGCATGTGGAAAAAGAATTTTGGTGATACAAGCATTAACGTTAGACTCTTGCAAATGAGCAAGATGGAAGTAAATTTTCAGAAGATAACTGTGGTACTAGCCAAACGAATTTAGTGATTAACATATTGGGCCCTGTGGCGCTTAAAGGGCCAGGGAATGTGGTCTGGAAACCACAAGTCAAACAGAAAATGCAGACATGAGATGAAGTATTCCTTCTTCACAGCATAATGAACAGAAAATCCAAGTTACAATTATTCAAAGACTGCCGGATTAGGTACATTGTGATACATGTGATACAGGTACATGTACAGGAACATGGACATTCATGTGGGAGGCCTCTAAGGATGTGCTTGGTTATTCCTATCTACATGTACATGTAATTCATTCTGGAGTGCCTCATTTCAATGCAAGTTATGAACTGCAAGTTAACGTGCATTTGACCAGCAACTGCTCTCAGAAGCTGAGGGCAAGCTTTCAAAATCTTGGGCCAACAGTGGATGTCAGAGAAGGGCCAATGGGGGCATTCCCCCTCAAAAGGTGCCCCCTCCTCCAATTTTTTTGATTTATTTATTTTTTTTAAATGAGAGGGCAGAAACGCTTTTGGTCCATTTCATTTCCCTTCCCTCAAACAGCACGTGAAAACCCCAAACTGTATAGCCCCATCACTCAGAAAAGCCATGAAAAAATTACATGAAGAACTGAACAAATCTTTTGGCCTGCCCCCTCCCCCCCAAAAAAATTGGCTTCTGGATCTGTCACTCTCTTTGGACACTGCTTATCTAAAACTACATGCAGCTCTGTGTAGAATGTTATTCTAATAAGATGCTTAGGAGATCACAGGACCTTTCCCTTTTTTTTTCTTTTTAGAAACTGCTTACAGATTACCAGCAGTGGCAAGATAAACGGCACTGCGGGCACGTGCAACACTGACTCGTGCAATTGTAACAGCACACATTCTCTGCAGAAAAAGGTTGCACCATCGTAGTACATGTACATTTCAAACAATTTCGCGTACGCTTCTAAGAAAAGCCAAGTTTCCTTCCAGATGACTTTCACAGGAATGCATAAATATTTGCTAATGAGCAAATCGTAAATTGATTAAAATTTTACTACATGGGAGTGCAATTTTTTGCGGGGGTGGGGGGGAATTCAAATGGTTAGAATCCAATCTAAGGGTTCATATACATGTACGTGCTATACAGCTATCAACACTTCAACAAATTTAAAAACTAAAATGCAACAGGATACATTACAATTTTAACTTGAACAGATGAAGCACAGCTTTATTCACAATGTACATGTTACAATGACTTTCCACCTCGTTTGTAGCAGATAAATGGACAAAATTCAACATTTCTGATTTTATGCCGATG